GAGGGACCCAGGAGGGGGGAAAGGAGGTTTGGAGGAGGGATTGGAGGGAAAGAGCTCCGGGATAGGGGCTGGCAGGCCGGCACCAAGGGAGCAAGAGCAGAGCGCACGCCCAAGAGGACAACCCTGTGGACAGGACCCTGCGGAGATGGGCGAATCAGGGTTCACGAGTGAGAGGTGAGAAGGAGTCTAGAGACAGACAGCAAGGAACGCGCAGGGTACCACTCAGTGATGTGAAGGTGTCCAAGACGTCTCCTCTACGTGAGTGCGTCGAGTTAGAGAGAGGAGCGAGAGCCAGAGGTGCGGAAGGGCAAAGGAAGGGAACGGCAAGGCCAGGGACTGGGTGGGATGGGGAGGGACTGGAGAGATCAGGGGGAGGAGGGGCAAAAGTCTTGCAGCTCAAAGGGGAAAGTCTTAGCCCTAAGCAGCCTCCCAGGACTGGGGGATGCTGTAGGGGTGAGGAGCAGCAGGACACAGAGCTGTAATTCGCAAGGTGGCGACCACACCTCTGCACCATCACCCTTCCTTGTCCACAACCTCAGTTTATCCTTCTGATCTCAATTCTCTGGATGCTACCCTGAGAGAAAAAAAAAATTCCCCAACTAGGTTTGCTTAAATTTCGAATCTAAGCGTACCTAGACACATTTTCCTTGGCAACCACCAGACTCAGTGAACTGAGTTATGGTCACTCAATTAGAACAAAGACAGGATAACGCTTCACCTGTTCGTAGCTTGGAGGAATAAAAAAGGGAAAACCTGTTGGATTTGGGGGCAGGGATTCATAGGGGTGCTCTGAGAGTCTGGGGGGCCACTCTTCACAGGACTAAGAATAAAGCTTTTAGATCTTTCTCTATTTCCTTAGCACACCAATCCCCAAGCTAAACTCTGTTGAGTTTACACCCTTGGATCTTGGCGTTGCTACTTTCTGAACTGTCTCCTGTCTGGAGGAGAAACCGACCCTTGGCTCCAGGGAGTTTGTGGGGGCTGAAGGTGCGGCAGCGGTGGCTGAGTGGCTGCGGTGGCGGTGCAGGGGGTGTGGGGGTCTACCGGGGCTGCTCAGGGGTGACAAGAAGGGTGGGGTGTCCCCCGGGAAGTTGGAAGAGGAGTTGCTGCACTTCCTACCCAGCTCTAGCGACTTGGGTTCTGTCACTCTCGTGTCCAGCCTTGCCAGTCAGTGCCTCCAGGGGCGATCTGCACGTTTAGGCCACTCCCACTTCCAGTGCGCGCTCTCAGCAGAGCCTTAGTCATCACCTCTGGGAAACTGAGTTCACCACGCCCACATCCCAACTCCTTCCCAAGTTGAAATCATTTCTTCCACCTGTTGACCTGAGGCTTCTGAAGCCCTGGACTATAGCATCTGAGACACTGAGAGACGGGAAGGGGACAAAGAGTATCTTTCCAGATGTTCTGGTGAGACCTAGGCCCTGAAAGCCCTTTGTCACAGCTCAGCCAATTGTTTAGTGACTTTCTGAGCCAGGAGACCACCTTCAGGACTGAAGGAAGGTAGCTTTGGTGGCTTCCAGTTGCCTCGGACTCCCAGAGTGAATGATCAGCTAGCCAAAATAACTATTTTAGAAATAGCGATGTGGGACCCACTAAGACTTATTGTACCCCTAAACAGGCCTCTCAGAGATGGGCTGGCAAGGATTTTGCCTACTTCTGTTAGCCCAATAGTCATCTACTTCCCCCTGGACAGAGAGGAAAGTCAGTGTCTATTCCGGACACAGGAATTCCAGATGGCTCCCCTTTCTGGATGGGGAGTCCAACTACTTCCTATCTCAAGATTACTGAGTCCAAGTACTGGTCCAGGCACTCCAGTGAGTAAAATGGCTGGCCCCCTGTCCATGCCAGAATCAAGGCCCTTAGGCCTCCACTGCCTCCACTCTGCCCATCCCTGGATGGCTCAACATTGGGCCCCTCCACTTCCTCTTGTGCTTCGAAGTATAGCCTGGAGTGGTTTCTATTGGGGGTTAGTCGCAGTCAGCACCACCCTGTCTTCTCTCTTTGAGCCTGACTGAACTCACCCGTGTGAGTTCTGAACCCAATGCACCCTCCTCCAATTTTAGCCAAGTTTCACAAACTTGAGACTGGTCCTGGAATTCGGGGTCTGAGACACCAAGACCACTCATATGATCGATTCCCCAGTCACCAAATCTATTTTTATTGCCCATTAGCCACTTCAGGTCGAGCTGAGCAGAGGGACCTCATTATCAGCATGAAGGCCTTAATTCTAGATGTGGAGAGTCAAGAGACATATGCAGACTCACCCCCTCTCCATTCCACAGGTGTGGGGGGGGGCGCGGCCGGCGCCCCCGTGTTCCCTGACTCCTTGGACCCTGGTCAGGGCTGTTTCAAGCCGCCCGGGCCGAATGCCTGCAATGATTCGTGCCTGCTGGGAATGAGGCCCCAAGGGCTAAAAGCTTTGCCTGGCACCAAAGACTGAAAGTCAGCCTATGCCCTGATACGCCCTTTCAGCTTGAGCCCTTGACTCAACCTTTTCGAACTACATTCTTCTCAAAGTCCTAGGGACCCTAAAACAAACCTGAGAATAACCCCTTTTAGGCGAAAAAATGCAAAGAAAGGGCGTCGGGGACCCTTTGTTTAGAAATTCTGCATTGGCAGACTGAAAAGGGGTTCACAAGGGATGGGGTTCCCCCTTCCTCATGAAAGACACGAGAAGAAGGCAAATCCCCACTAGAGGCGCAGCCGCTGAGACTCAAGCCTGAGACCCGCCAGGGCCTCCCGCCGTCGCCTAACCGAAAATTCCGGAAACTGGCCGCTCAGGGAGAGACAGGCTCAGTGGAAAAGGTGACCTCAGCGCCCCAGGCCAGCTTCCCTACCAGGTGGCCTGGTAATAGGTACACCAGGCGGCCGGGAGGCCTCGACGCAATCTCCTCGCCAAGAGAGTACCCTTGAGTGGAACGTATCCCCTTTCCCACTTGCGAGCCCGGAAGACCCCGGGGCTTCAGCCGGCCTTTAGCGGGTGGAAGACAGACGGGGGCCACCGAATGAAACGCCGACCCCCAGAGCGTGGGTGTGAAGGTCCGATCTGCACCACCTCCAGCTGCGGTTTATTTCCCAAGCGCCCCAAGGAGGGACGGGATTCTGGAGACATCTATTTGGGAAGTAGTCCCTGTGCCCCAAGGCAGATAGAGCTGCTCTAGGCCAGGCCAGCGACCAGCATCATCAGGGCGCTTCTAAGTAGGGCTCCCCTCCAAACCTCCCTGGACCTTGAAGGTTTCTTTTTGTTTTCTTTTCCACTTGCAATCGATATGTATCTTATTCAGGAAAATGAATTTGGGACCGTGAGTGTCTGGAAGGAAGATTTCTTAAAATGGTTACCTCTCCTCTGGATACTGACAACCACCTGGCGGAATTCTTATTCCCTTCCCCAGTGCACAGCCTTCCCAAGTTCGCCGCGCTCCCGTGGCGCTCTGGGTAAGTTTTCTCTCCAGGAGCACCCCCTCCGCCCCCAAATGGGATTCGTTCCTCCGGCGTTTTCTGGCTCTAAGTCTGCCCTTGCCGCGGTGGCAGTGACGGTGGCCTTCGGTAGGGAGGTGGCTTCTGCCTCAGATAGGCAGCGCTGGACAGAAGTCGCCTGAACCTAGAGGGCAACGCGTGGTCTGGACAGGCTATCGTCGGTGCCCTGCGTTTTGCTAGAGAGGTCATCATTTGCCTTCAATACACAAAACCATCGAGGATATAAAATTACGCGGTTCCCACACTCACAGATGACATCTAAATTACTTTTTCGTTGGAAAGCCCGGCTCCGTCACTGTTTTTCGTTGTGGCTAGTTCGATGTCCGTATGGACTTTCGTTTTGATTTTTTTCGATTCGACCTTTGAAATTGGTTCCTTTTTTTTTTTTTTTTTTTTTGGTACGGTTTGTTGTTTAAGAATGTGTGATTTCCTCTGGAAATTTAGGTTAGGATACGTCCATAGAACTCTCCAAGGAAACGGTTCGGCGATCAAGGTCCCTGGCCACCCTTAGCTGGTCCTGTCTCTTTTCACACCCAGGACTGCCCTTGGCGACTTCCAGTGCAACCTCGGATCCTAGAGCAGAGGTAAGAACCAGGTCACTGCCAAGACTGAGACGCAGCTGTCGCTAACTCCGTGGCTTGCGTGGCATGGGCCGCAGCTGCTGGGAGAGGAGCAGTTCACATAGACTCCACTAGGCAGTGAAGGTAGAACCTGAAAGACCATGCCCCCTTCCCCCCCAATAGAAGAGGTCTGAACCCCACGGAGTTCCGGCTGGGGAGTGCAGAATTCCTGTCCCTTCCGGGTAGAGAGGCAGCTTCGTGACGACTGTCCCAAGGCACCTTCTAAGCCCTCTGTGGGCAGGTGCCCGGTCACTGCGCTCGCACCCGGGGTTCTGCCAAAATCCTAGAGACTCTGGTCGCTGTGGTTAGACTCAAAAGCCGCAGGATAGCCTTCCACGAAAGACGTTCGCTGCGGAAAAGGCCCCAGAGAGGTGGCGGCTCAAAGACAGAGGAGGCAAGGCTTGCTGGAAAATGGCCCTGCTTTTAACTCTCCTCATTTCTCTTATCTTTCCCCTCTATCCACTTCCTCTGTCTTATTTCCCCAACTCTAGTACTCAATGCCCTGCGCCTTTCTGATTCTTTAGCTCTGGATCGCCAAGTCATGGTTTCCCGTTCTCTCTAACTGCGAGACTAGGGGCAGTCACAAAGGCCTGTGCCAACCGGGCGCAGAAGTCTTTAAGGTTTCTAATGCAGGATTAAACACACTACAAGGTTTCTAATGCAGGATTAAACACCGCAAGGTTCGCTAGCTTTTTTATGGGGCAGGGTCTCCTTACAGCCTGGGCACCATGAGGAATCAGCCCTAGGGTGAGAGGTGGGAGCGCAGGTCCTAGCCCACGTGCCGGTTAGCTGCTTTGCCCTCGCCGGAGGAGTCCGTGGCTTGCGCGTCCTTCCTGACAGCACTCTAGATACAAGTCTTACCAGGAGACGGCTCCAGGTGAGAGGAGCCGACTGGGGTTTTTGCAGCTCTTGCCTTCTAGGAACACCTTGGGAGGACGTCCTTGCAAAGCTTTTGCCTCAGGCGGGGATTTGAGCCCTCCCAGGGGTGTGGAGAAAATAAAGCCGCCCTGCTCCTCAGGTTTAAGCCCAGGACCAGCCTCCTACCCGGAATCCAGGCGGCCCTTCTGGCTGTTCTTCTGAACCGACGGGAGATGATAAGAGAGAACAGTGGTTGTGGTACCCCCACAGGCCCTCTACTTTTCTGGGTCCTCTTTTCTCACACCACGCTTTTCTATAGCCTCTGTATCCGAGTCTCTTGCAGCTCTGGCGGGCCTCAAATTCACTACGGGTGCTACGGATGGTCTTTTAAAGCCAGGCTTAACTGACCACATGTCACAAATGCCCACGGGGGAACCTCACTGGGCACCTAGGACCCCTCATTTCATTCCATGGTTTCCCTAAATGAAAAAAAGCAAACAATACGAGCAAGCGAACAACAAACAAACAAAACAGAAAGACGCAGGCATTTATTTAATTTTGGTTTTAGAGAAAGTCTCCAACAGCCCAGACTGGCCTTGAACTTGAACTTGCTGTGTTGCTGAGATTGGCTCTCGGCTGGAATTACAGGTGCTCATCTCAGGCCCGTGGGGGTGGTTCTCCCTTGAAGACTTTCCTGCCGGCTCTTAACAGCCTCCAGCAGGGACCAAAAGCCTTTGACTGCTAGGAGCCAGACAAGCAAAAATCAAAACCAACCAAAAAAACCTTACCGCTTTTCAGGTCACATGACCCGTTGCAGAGACTGGCTCTGCCCAGTGGCTTCAGCTCTGCTTCAGTCCAACTTCATTTGTGTGCCCTGAAATTTGACTTTGACACAATTTTCACATACGAAATATTATTCTCACCTTGAATTTTTTCAACCACTGAAAAAATGTAAGTTCTATTTTAGGCTTATCTGCCTTACGAAATCGGGCAGGGGCTCACCCTTTCACCAATTCCTGGGCTAGAATAAAGCCTTCTGATTGCAAAACACATACACTTGTGTTCAGAGGGTTCCCTTAGCTTTACAAAATGGTTTAGCTGTTCCGCCCACTCCCAGGGAAGCACTGTTTGTCCAGCGGTGCCCTTACAGAGTCCCAGTAGCTGTCCCTTCTGCCCGCCTCTGGATTCCCAGCATTTAAAATGTTCTTACTGGGAATTCCATGCCCAAACACTGAACTAAATGAGGTGTAATTAGAGTCTTCTGATGTAGACCAGGGTGGCTTTGAACTCACAGAGATCCGTCTGCCTCTGCCTCTCAATATCTCCTATTTTAAAAATGATTATTATTTAATGTGCGCTGGTGTTTTGCTTGTATATACTCTGTGAGAGGGTGTCAGATCTCTTGAAACTGGAGTTACAGACAGTTGTGAGCTATTATGTTGGGATTCAGGGTCCTCTGCAAGAGCGGTCAGTGTTCCTAACCACTGAACCATCTCTTTAGTGCACCCTCCCCAATATCTCCTTTCACCTTTTCCTTTCCTCCCCACTCTGTTTGTGTCTTATGTGGCCCAGGCAGGGATACAATATGTAGCCAAGGTTAGTCTTAAACTCTTGATCCTCCTCCCCTGCTTCCTAAGTGCTGCCAAATCCAGTTCCACAGTCTCCTTCTCAATCAATTCTAACACAGATCCTTGGAGCTATTTACCCTGCCTTCCAACTCCTTGCACACCCCTTGCGACAGGGTGCTCATCCCCTTCAGCGGCAGCCCTGACAGTCTCCTGAGAGCCCAGTGACCTGGAGCACCAATCCTGGGGAAGGCCACTACTGGGGAGAGTGCTCCCATCCAGGCCACATCCTTTCCCATCTCCCTCAGTCCCATCTAAATCCCCTCCAGCTGCTGAAACGTGGATGGACAGGGGGCTGTGGTCTGGACTGGCTGGGAGTTTCCCAAGCCCTGAGCCTTTGCAGCTGCCAAGTGACAAATTTTTGCAGGGACTAGGCAAAGGGAAAGAAAATGACAGAAAGGGGGCCTTTATAAATGGGAAGCCAGCTAAGAGTTTTTCCAGGAAATTGTGCTCAAAAACGGTCTCATGGCTCCACCCCCTCATCTTCCAGGGTTCTTGCGCCCTCTACTGGCCACATTCTGTCTGAACTAGACTCACTGGGGACGGTTTTCCTTAGGAAAAGGAAAACCAGAATGTTTGAGCATGTGAAACCTGAAAAAGCCCAGCTTCTGGAAACAAGGGAGTAGTGACTTCCAGGAGTCAGGGGTGGGAAAATGGTGTGTGTGTGTGTGTGTGTGTGTGTGTGTGCGCGCGCGTGCGCGTGTTTGTCCAGTTTCTATTATTTGTGTGCGTGATCTGTATGTGTTCACGGGTATGTACACATACACACTGATACAGTTGGAGGCTAGAGGTCAATAATGTGTATCTTACTCTACTGAACTGCGTCTTATTTTTGTGTCCCCAGCACCAGGATTACAAGTGTCTCACCAGTCCTAACTTTTTGCATGTGTTCTGGAGATCTGAACTTGGTTGCTAATGCTCATGTTCAATCTCTTTATTGACTGAGCCATCTCCTCAGCCCCAGGTCTAAATAAAAACATTTTTTAAAAATATTTATTTATTTATTATGTATACAATATTCTGTCTGCGTGTATGCCTGCAGGCCAGAAGAGGGCACCAGACCTCATTACAGATGGTTGTAAGCCACTATGTGGTTGCCGGGAATTGAACTTAGGACCTTTGGAAGAGCAGACAATGCTCTTAACCGCTGAGCCATCTCTCCAGCCCCCAGTAAAAACATTTTTAAATCTTTTGTGTATTTATTTATTTTTATGCATATGACAGTTGTACCTGCCTGTGCACCGCATGCATACTTTGTGCCTCTAGAGGCCAACAGAAGGCGTTAAATTCCCTGGAACTAGAAAAACATGTAGTTATAGCTAGAATAACATGGAGCCAACATGTAGGCGCTAGGAACCAATCCTGGGTCCTTGGCAAGAGCAGGGAGTACTCTTAACCTCTGAGACATCTCTCTAGCAGCCCCTTAAGTAAATTAAAAAAAAAAAAAGAAAGGAAGAATAATCTAGTACCCTTTTTCTCTGGCCGTGGGCTGTCTTACGGGTGCTTCAGAGACAAAGAATGTGGCATTTTATCTGCTCCCAGGGAACACGGTCCAGCTGCTGAAATAGACCTAGGAGCTTGCAAGGATGATACAAGGCTACGGGCATGGCAAGGCGGGAGACAGCTTCCTGCAGCAGTGGCGTGGTGTAGTTCGAAGTTCAGGATACTTTCAGAAGCACATGAGGGAAACTTGCAGCTTTATCAGCGGGGTGTCATGCCCCAACCAAGGTCAGGCCAGGGTCTTTTCCTGGTCCCATCATGATGTTTCATCCAATCTCATATCTTCCACTCTAGGAACCTGCACCCCTCCCGTGTTTGTGTGTGTGTGTGTGTGTGTGTGTGTGTGTGTGAGAGAGAGAGAGAGAGAGAGAGAGAAAGAGAGAGAGAGACCCAATATTTAGCCCAGGCTGGCCTCTAACTTGTGATCCTCAACCTCTCAAGTATACTGAGGTTACAGGTGTGTGCCCCCACATTCAGCTGAGATGGACACTTTTACCCTTAATCTCCAAACAAGGATGCTACAAGGAGGCCCGAGGGATGGTGACCCATTTGCTGGATACCACAGTGCCACCTGCTGACTTTTCCTTTGTTCCCCACAGCTACCGAGGCTCAGTGCTGAAGCACCTGCTGCCCAGATGTCTCCACCTCTGTGTCCCACATGCTCTATGCTTGGTTCCCAGATCTGAACTCAGCACCACGGGCCTTGCTTAACTCATGCTGAGTGGAGACGGACTGGAGTAACCGTCCTGTCCTGATTTCCACGACTTGGATGGAGAGGCTTTGTGGGGGTTCAGGAGGCAGCTCAAACAGCAGGCTAGGCATCACCATTCAGAGGGTAAGATACCGTGACTTAGGGTACCCAGAGTACTGGGCCTCTCCCATGAGCAAGCCCCTGGTTTTAACCCTTCCCTGTCCCACCACAGCTCTGTCTAGGAGAAGAAGATTCTTATAGCTTGTGGGGAATTAGAAAACTGTGTCCAACAGTCCTACTGATTATTCCTTCTGTTCCCATCACAAGTGGGGTTGAAAACAATATTAGTTTAAGCTCTTTAACGTCTGAGCGCTCCTTTCTTAGACGATTCGCAACATGTAGGAGAGAAGGAGGAAACACATTCTATCTTTGTGCTTCCCATTCAGAACTAGAACCCACTTTACCCTGGAAATTCACTGATTCGCTATCTTATTTCTGTTGCAGGTCTGTAAAGCAGGGAAGTCGGTGTGGCCAGCTAACTCAGAGGTCGCCCCCTGGTGTCCACTCCCTGCATAACCCATCAGAGTGAAGGCAAAGAAAGGCGTGTCTCGCCATGGTTGTAGGAGCCATGGTCCACTCTAAGCTCCCTTTATGGTAAAAGTAAATATGATTAAACCCTTAGACAATTGATAGTGAATTTATTTAAAAGGGATATTATCTTGGAGTGACCTAATTGGATGATACCTTTAAAAAGCTTTAGGGGCCTTGTGGAGGTCAGAGATGTTCTGGGGGGCCTTGGAGAAATGAAGGGGCTTAACAGTAAGAATCCTGGAGTAAGGAATTGACGTCTGCCGCCCACCCAAGTCACCTCAGAAGCAGATACTTTCTTGGCAGAGCGGAAGCCACAGCAGGACAGACACTTTGGCCACAGCCTTGTGAGACCCTGGCAGACAACTCAGTAGATCCTGTCTGCCAGGATGCCCAGCCGGGTCCTTGTCACCACGAACCAGGAACAAACCTCAGAATGAACCACGTCAGTGAGCCTACTTACTGAGGGTCCAAGACTTCCCTCTGTCCCTGTAATACTCCGCCAGGCTGACAGGGGTAAGGAGGGACTGTGGTACTCACAGGGCCCCTGTGCCCTGGCCCTCCCAGTGTCTTTTGGTTCATCAGCTACCATCTCACCATGACAAAGAGTGACTCAGAACCAGATACGGTGTTCCAATATTCTGGAGACTGAGGCAGGAGGATTGTGTGGCGTTCAAAGTCGGCCTGGGGGAAAACAGGAAGATCTAGCCAAATCAATCAAAGAAACATAAAAACAATGACCCAGAGGGGGACATTGCAAGAGGCAGAAGTGTCCCTAACCTAGGCAGGTCCTGAGCTGGAGTGGTAGTGCCACCTGATCAAGCAGCAGAGCCCACCAGCAAGGGGTGATGACCAAGGTGGGATGACGGATCAGATTTGTTTGCTTCCTCTGTTCCTGTGGGTTTTTTTTTTAACTGGCCTGGGCTCTGGGAGATAGGAATAGGGGGCATAGAATTTGGTCCCGAAACAGCTGCTTGGCTACTGGCCTGACATCTGCTGTGTGGGCCCTGCCCCTGATACAGCTCTACCTTTGGGCTACAGGTTCTACCCATAGGAACCTTCCCTCTTTTTGCATGACAGGCTTCAGTGACACACCTCAGCCCCTTACTGGGTGCTTGGAGGCTCTCAGAGGCTCCCAGGACTGGGTTCAAGGCCCCGTGAAGACCAATGAGAGGCCTCTGAAGTAAAGGCACAGCCCAGGAGTAAGTGGATTCAGCTTTACTGTGTGGCCAGCCTCTACTTTTTCTAAGGGGACAGACTGTGGGAATTGATTTGCTCTTTCCACCATGTGGCAGTGACCTTACCACAGAACCATCTCAATGCTCCACCACCTTAGTTTTTGGGGCAAGGTGTCTCGCTGAACCTGAAAGTTGCTATCTTAGATAGACTGACTGGCTGCCAGTCTCGTCCTTCCACTTCAGGGATTATTGATGTGTTCCATGGCGCCTGGCTCTTATGTGGGTGCTGAGGCTATGAACTCAGGACCTCCCTCTACTGACTGAGTCATCTCCCAAACCCTGGAGTAGAATCTAACATTAACCCAGCGAACACCATTCAGCCTTCAGTCTGTCATCGCCTCCCATTGCCCAGACATGGGATGGAGAAGATTTGAGGGGAAGGAATTGGGTCCCCAAACCACGGCATGGTGAAGTCCCCCTCAGACCAGAAGCACACACACCAGACAAGCATGTAACTGAAACAAAAAACCATGAGTTTAGCTGCAGGAACCAGGGTTTATTTGTCAAAGCTGCCAGTACTACGCTACCCATTGGTAATGAACCAGCCTTTCAAAGTTGCCAATTGAGCAACTTGGGGTGTGAGTTTAGACACCAGAGGAGATGTGAGCTTGGGGTATAACTTTAGACACATGTAAGTGTGAGGATAGGCTGAAGACAGAAGTAGTGCTTCTGGGAGGGAGGAGGGAGGAGGGAGGAGGGAGGAGGGACAGGAAAGCTGAAGTGAGGGGAAGAGTCAGAGACAGGTCTGAAACACACTAGAGACACAGCACAGTGATGAACGACTTTAGGGGAAATGTAGATGCCACACTGTCCGCCTGGATCAGTTCCAAGTGCTGCGGAGGACAGCACACAATGCTCACTGAGCTGAAGACAGGGAAATTGGGGCATTGAGAAGACAGGAAACTTTGGGACAAAGAAACATGCTGCACAGAAGGAGGTCTAGAAACTGTCGAAGGATTCGTAGCTTCTTTGTCAGAGCAATTCCTTCAGGAGAGGCAGGATGGAGGAAGTTAAAGTCCGGTGACCTGATAACATGTGGCAATGGGCAGAAAGCCACACACTTGGATCATGCTTAGAAGCAGTTCAAAATTTCCTAGAATATGAGCTGCTCTGGAGTCCATTTAAAACCAAAATTGTGAGCCAGACCGTGGTGGCACATGCCTTTAATTCTAGCGCTTGAGAAGCAGAGGCAGGGGGATCTCTGAGTTCATGGTCTACAGAGTGAGTTCCACAATGGCCAAGACTATACAGAGAAACTGTGTCTTGAAAAACAAACAAAATAAGCAGAATAAAACAACAAAATTATGACACATCAAACATTGAAAGAATCAAATTGTTCTGTAGATAAACTACCTAAAGCCAGCCTACTGGAATAGTCTCTAAATAATATAACAATGTTTAGAACCAAATTCTATGGAATTTAAAAAGCCGGTATCCAGTTGCAAATTACCAGGTATGCAGAGAAACAAGAAAATATGATCTGTAACTGGGCCAAACAACAACGACAGAAAAATATCAGTTATTGAAAACAGACTGAAAAATAGCAGAGGAAATAAAGCTAGCAGACAGGAACGCTAAAGCAACTAATGAAAATCTTATAAGCATGGTAAAGGCTATAAATAAAAATATTATGAGGTAAAGTAGAAAATATTGATAAGACTCAAGCAGAACTTGTTTGGGTGAAAACTTAATTCATAAAATAGCTATTCAGCCCAAAATGCTACACATAACAGAAACAGGATCAAACCCCACATTTTAAAAGTAGTTTAGTAGACTTGATCCTGCAGGGATGGTCCGGTGGTTTCGAGCACTTGCTGTTCTTTCAAAGGACTAGGACTGGGTCTCTTGCATCCATTTGCTGGCTCAAAACCATTAAATCCAGTTCCAGAGGTTCCAACACCCTCTTCTGGCCTTAATGGATATTGCATACACTTAGTGCATGGATTCGCAGGCAGGCAAAACATCCACACACATAAAAGAAAAATAACTCTTTAAAAGTTTCTTTTTTAAAAACAAACAAACAGGAGACTCAAATCTTACCACACAGAGAATTACATTGCATGTAAGTTGTCTAAACACTCGCACTAAAAGGCAAAAATAGAAATTTGCATAGATAGTTAGGCAAAGCTTAACTATGTGATTTCTACGACACTGTTGAATAGAAATCATAGATACATTAGTAATTCAAATAAAAAAGAGATCCAACACAAATCTCAGAGCAATGCAGAGAAACAGAAAGACATTCCTTGTAACTAGAGATTTAAACTTTAGCTGTTCTGTTTGATAGAACAGGTTTGTCAAAAGAAAATACAGATCAGTAAGCATATGGGATGTTGGGGCTTGAAAGAATTCATTTGGTAAAATGCTTGCTGCATTCATGTAGAAAGCCAGTCATGGTGGCCCATGCTGAGTGGAAGAGAACGGACAATCCAGCTAGGCAGCCCAGCTTAATCAGTGGACTCCAGGTCCTAGAGAAAGACCTGTCTCAAAAACCAAGGTTGACCAGGATAGCCAAAACAATCCTGTACAATAAAAAAAAATTTCTGGAGGCACCACAATCCCTGACTTCAAACTCTACTACAGAGCTACAGTACTGAAAACAGCCTAGCATTGGCATTAAAAACAGACAGGAGAACAAATGGAACCAATCCAAAGACCCAGATATTAATCCACACACCTTCAAACAACCTGATTTTTGACAAAGAAGCAAAAAATATCAAATGGAAAAAAGAAAGCATATTTAAAAATTGGTACTGGCATAACTGGTTATCAGCATGTAGAAGAATGAAAATAGGCCCATATCTATCACCATGCACAAAACTCAAGTCCAAATGGATCAAAGACCTCAATATAAAGCTAGCCACACTGAACCACATAGAAGAGAAAGTGGGAAGTGCACTTGAACGCACTGGCACAGGAGACCACTTGCTAAATAGAACCCTAGTAGCACAGACACTGAGAGAAACAATAAATGGGACCTCCTGAAACTGAAAAGCTTCTGCAAAGCAAAGGATGTGGTCAACAAGACAAAACAACAGCCTACAGAATGGGAAAAGATCTTCACCAACCCCACATCAGACAAAGGCCTGATCTCCAAAATATACAAAGAACTCAAGAAACTGGTCATCAAAAGAATAAATAACCTAGTTAAAAAAATGGAGAACAGACCTAAACAGAGAACTCTCAACAGAGAAATCTAAAATGGCTGAAGGACACTTAAGGAAATGTTCAACATCATTAGTCATCAGAGAAATGCAAATCAAAACAACTCTGAGATTCCATCTTAAATGCAATCAAAACAACTCTGAGATTCCATCTTACACCTGTAAGAATGGCCAAGATCAAAAACACTGATGACCACTTATGCTGGAGAGGTTGTGGGGTAAAGGGAACACTTCTACTTCTGCATTGCTGGTGGGAATGAAGCTGGTACAACCCCTTTGGATGTCAGTGTGACGATTTCTCAGAAAATTAGGAAACAACCTTCCTCAAGACCCAGCAATACCACTTTTGGGTATATATCCAAAGGATGCTCAATCGTGCCACACATGTGCTCAACTATGTTCACAGCAGCTTTGTTTGTCATAACCAGAACCTGGAAACAGCCTTAATGCCCCTCGACTAAAAAATGGATAAGGAAAATGTGGTACATTTACACAATGGAGTACTACACAGAAGAAAAAAATAACAACATCTTGAATTTTGCAGGCAAATGGATGAAGCTAGAAAACATCACTTCGAGTGAGGTAACCCAGACCCAGAAAGACAATTATCACATGTACTCACTCATAGGTGTTTTTTAAACATAAATCAAAGAAAACCAGCCCACAAATCACAATTTCAAAGAACCTAG